CATCTAAAAAAGGCTAGAAAATGCTTTCCAAGGTAAATACTCTCAGGTCACCTATACACCTCAAAAACTCCTCAGTCATCTCTGTAAGTAAGCTCAGTAAATTCATTGGTTCCCCAGAAAAGCCTTAGTCAAACTTTGGGTTGACACTAAAACCTTAAAAAAATATACACGTTGCTTGATGTCAAAAAAAATTCTCACAACAAATGGAATGTTTATTTGTTAATGATATTGTGTCTCATGGTTATTAAAAAAATACAAAGTTAAAAAATGTTAAAAGGATATGAAAATAAAGATATTTTACTAAAAAAATTTATAAATGAAGATTATGATGGCTGGATATTTCCAAAATTAACAACAACAAAAAAATCTTAATTCTTATGTTCTCCTTCTAAATAATAAAAACTGTAACTAAATCCTAAAAAGGACGCAACATTCTAATAACCCCAAAAAGAGAATATGCATTTGTGTTTCCACAGGACGCTGAAGCTCCCATCTGGATTCTTGACAGGTTCATGAGGCCCTACAATAAAGTCTTAAAAAAAAAAAAAAAACCAAAAAGATGCCAAGAGACATGACCAAAAAAAATGGGAAAACTCAGATTTTCTTATCTGCAGACCAAGGCAGCTCAGAAGGCCATCCATTACCCACTACAGTCTCCCGATTATATTTTAGATTATTCCATTGCTAATCCAAATTATGATTATACCTCTTATTTAACAAATAATGTGCAAAAGTTTAATGGTTATATTCCTAATAGCCTTTTCCGCCTTTTTGCGGCTGCCAACATGTTGCTCTTAAAAAAGCCTAAAGAAACTAAAACTACATTTATTGGAGTAAAAACATGTATAAATTATCCTTATGGAATTTTAGCTGCTAAACTAAAAGATTTTTACCATTTATAATCATGGAAAATCTTATCATGTAAAATGTACAAATTGTGTGTTTACTAATTGTCTCACTTCGCATTGAATAAAGATTATTCTATAATAGTGCTATTATAGCAACCTAGTTTTGTTAATGCTTCCAGTAGATTTAGGATCAGATCCTTGGTATAATAACTCAGCTTTACAAACACTAAAAAATTTAAATAAATTAATCAGGCCAAAAAGATTCATTGCAGCATTGGTATTGGGCAAAGGGGCATTGATTACCATCTTGACTTCGCTTACTGTTTCCACTGTTGCTTTCGTGGAAAAAGTCAAAATGGCACATTTTGTAAATAATCTTAACAAAAATATTTCATTGGCTTTAGCAGATCAATATAACATTAATCAAAAGCTAAATATGAGGATAAACGCTTTTAAAAAAGTAATTTTAGCTTTAGGACAAAAAGTACAAAATTTGAAGGTACAGCTCTCTACTAAGTGTCATGCTAGTTTTAAATATATTTGCATGACAATACACTATTAAGAATTTATCAAATTGGTGGGAGGATATACAAACTAGAAAATTTAGGAGACTGTATTAGGTACTTCTGTTGCTGTGAGAAAGTACCAGACAAAAACTACTTAGTGGAGGAAGGGTTTATTTTGACTCATCAGTTTGAGGGTGCCGTCCTCCAGGCTGGGGAAAGCACGGCTGCAGGAGCGTGAGGAGGCTGATCTCACTGCATCTGCCATCAAGAAGCAGAGAAAGATGAGTGCTGTATTCAGCTCAGTGTTTTCTTTTTCTTGTCCAGGACCCCAGCCCATGGAATGATGCCACCCATATTCAGGGTAGGTCACTCCTCTTCAGTTAAATCTTTCTAGAAACACACATAGGAACACACCCAAAGTGTGTTCCCACACTGATTCTGAATCCCATCAGGTTGATGATGGAGATTAGCTATCACAGGCACTAACAGTCCATAGAGCAGTGATAGAAGGGTGTCACCATCCAAAATTCCTAATTCTAATTTTATATATCCAAGGTCCTGTTTATATCCCCCTTCCAAAGTGTATTCTCTGTATAAACTTATATAATTCTCTGAACTTATTCGCAGAATTCTTTAAAATACATGATTTTGATATTCCATTGTCTAAATAATGGAAGCATGACTCATAAGTTTAATTTACCCAAGTTCACACTGTAAGAACCGGGCTTGCTGTCAGTGTCTGCCTTTCCCCATCTGCCCTCTCAATCTCTCACTCACCTCCTCTCTCCCAGGCAGTGTCCTCTGCTTCTCCATCCTCCCACAGCACTGAACAGTGAAGCTTCTGTGACCCCTGAAGCTGAGCCAGCTTCCTCCTCACACTCATTCATGTCACCATGCTTTTAAATTTTCCTTATCTTAGCCATTTTTTTTCTTGGGACTGGAAAGAGGTCTCAGTGGTTAAGAGCACTGACTGCTCTTACAGAGGACCTGGGTTAGATTCCAGGCACCCACATAGTGACTGACAGTCATCCTTAACTCCAGTTCCAGGGGATCCGAAACTCTCTCTGACCTCCGCAGGCATTGCATGGCATAGGTGTACTTACATACATGCAAGTGATACACTCATATGCATAAAATAAAAATAATAAAATATTTAAAACAAAAACAGCAACAATTTTTTTCTTATTAACTTGTGTTTTGGTCCATGTCTCTCACTCTGATATAAACTTCAAGCGTGAAGGGACCCTGCTTTCTTGCCCCACTGCTGGATCTCCTGTACTTAGAATGTGCTTATTTTGTGTTTACTGTAAACACAATTTCCAAGTTCACACATGAAGTCCACATCTGGTTCCTGCTTGTTAAATCTCACCAGTCAAGGGGTCCAACTCTA